AATTGCTCAGGATCCCTAACCAATACCCAAGGAATCCCCCTTGCACCCACCCAGCCCCCACATTATTATCGCCTCCAAATGAAGACCAAAACCAAGAGCGCTAATTGAATTAGTCTATTGAAAGGACTGTCAGGTACAATGACGTGGCTCGAGGCCCCACATTTCCCAAGGTCTATAGGCTTTGGGGACCTGCAATGTATAGTCTGACCTTCTGGCTCATAATAATACCGCGGCACTTGTAGCAGAAATCTCCTCGCATTCACTCCCAACAAAACCGCTGGTCACCCAGTCCCCGTAGGAAGGCTGCACGCTATTGTGTTGCGACAACTCATTCATGTCCCGCGCCACGAGGCCCCACCGCCATCTGATCTACACTCGAAATGCGATTACCACTGTGTGCATGCAACACGCTCGCACTCTCGGCCCATCGTGCACACGCCTGGCCAGGCTGCAAGGGTTTCCTTCACAATTCTCCTCACACCCATCCTCAAAAGAGAGGGGGAAAGAGGCAGGACCATGACATTTGTCTCTGCCTAAACGAGATCCAAAATTCTGCAGAGATGCAGGCTGGCGGGAGATCTCTTTTTTTTTGGAACAGCATGCACACAAGCCCACACAAACACACTTCTCCAGGCCCAACTGGCTGGTAGGGCAGAATTGGGTGTATACTCTGAAGTGTACATACACGAGCCTCCTGCCATGCACACAAATACACAGACACACAATCAGGGTTTTTATAGACTCTCTTTGTGGTTCTCACATTCACAAGCAAATAGACAAAAACACAGGGTTTGGCCCCTACAGCCATGGGCCACTCTGCAAATTGATAAGTGGTTTTTGCAAGAATGGGAAGAGGAGAAACAAAGGTATAATTTCTCAGCCTTCACCTTGAAAAGCACTCATCAGTCTTCCTGCTATATGACCCTCGGACTTCTCTAGCACCCCCCAAACACACAAACATACTTCCTGTCTGTTTGGCCAGGTGCTTTTCGCTCCGTAGAAGTTCCTGTTAGCCACAGAGAATGCAGAAAATGGAGGAAGTAGTCCGGGACTGGGAGAGAGGCAGTAGGGTTAGGGTCTCTCCATCCTGCTTCCCCCACCCCCCAAACCACCACCAGTGAAAGCCTCTTTGGGTCCCCTCCTTCCCTGGAGTGGGGAAATAAACCATAGGGGTTCCCCCCTTCGGCATTTAAAACAAAACATCTTTTTCCTTATTCTCCACTTGCATGTGGGCTGGATATGGAAACGGAGCTTGGGGCCGATCTATTACACAGATGTGGCTAGGTCAGGGGCCTTCTGTGGAGCCTCTTGCCCTGGGGAAACTGCACAACTCAGAACTTCAAGGCAATGGAAAGGGGCACTGGGTGCCTCCAAACTTCCATACCTTCAGCCCAGAAGCAGAGGGCGTTTGCAGAAAGGGACTCCATTCTCTTCCTTGTAGATTTCCCCACCTGCTTCCTATCAGTCTTCCTCCTGGCCATCCCCACCTGGATAGCTATCAAGTTGGAAGAAATTCCTTAATTCTCAAAGGCAGAAAAGAGTACCCCAAACGCACAGCCACACAAATGTATTCAGACGTGCACACCCATGGCTCCATCCACACGCAACCCCTTTACCCACATACTCACAACTCACCCTGCTGGTACTTTCTCACCCACACGCCCAGTCCTGAGCCCACTCCGAGTCCTCTGCAACCCCTCACACACCCATCTCGTTCAACATTTGCTCACTCTCAGCACACACACACCTCACTGCCAGGCTTGCTAGGACACCAACCCGCTAGCATAGTATGTTCATTTTCAGGACGGTGAAGAGGGCGTGGGCCTGGGTGGGGGTCGTGGAGAGCTGACGGTGCTGGGTGCAGAGCATCCGGGGCGCAGGCCTGGCCTGGGGGAGGTGGGGGGGACCAGGCAGCGCGCCGGAGCGCCGCCTAATCCAGCCGGAGCTCGTGGGCCGCGGGTGCATTTATCATCCCATTACTGTAACAAATCCGGGCTCCACTACATGAAAGGTAAAATGAATTACCGACGTTAAGCCGTCAATAAAGTCATTTCTGTAAATGGTGTCTCCAAAGGGCCGCCGCATTATTCAGCTGGCTTTATCAGCTGGCTGGAAATTACGTGGAAGAGCCGGGCCGCGCGGCGCGCGGGGCCGCTCACTTTGATTAAGCGTCTTGCCAGCGCGATGTGACAGAGCTTTTGACCAGGGTTTTATTCACAGGCCTGTGATGAACGCCAAGCTGATCAGGCGGAATGAAGAGTAATTAAAACCTATAAATTATCTTCCGCAGCCCTTCTCGAGGCGTCTCCTGCAGGCGAGATAAGGCGTCGAGACCCTATTTACGGCGCTGAAAGGGACGGCGGCGCACAAAAGCTACGCGGCTAAATAGGATATTGATAGTGTCCTAATTAGAATTTAATTAAGTACCCACGCTCGCTTGCGGGATAAAGATTTCAATTTTGCGAACTTAAATATAAATAAAATCCCACCCCCATTTCGGGGAGAAAAGGTGGGGCCACCGGGAGATTTCGGGGAGCCCTTGGGTGTAGAACTGAAGAGGACCCGGTAGACTCCAAGGTGGGGTTAGAGGGGCAGCTTGGGAGGGTTGAGATCACGGCGGGCCTGCTTAGCGCAGCGCTCCCGGAAATGGTTCGGGCAGCCCCCAGGCCGCCGGGCAGGTCTAACCGGGATCTGTGAGAGCCCCAGGTATGGGAAGACCCTCGGCTGACCCGAAGATGCAGCCGGCGATCCGAACTCTCGCTCTCCACCAGCCCCTCGGAGAAACTTCGGCTCCTGCGCTGGTTCGGCCTTTTGCGGTTTTCGTTTTATTTTCCTCCTAACCCTCTGTGACTTTTCGGGGCACGGGGGATTATTCTGTATTGTCCTATAAGACAATATCCCCAGAGACCCTTTCTCCACTGTCCCAGTTGAGGATGGCGGTCAGGGAGAACAGGTTCTCTGGAGCTCCAAGCTATTAACATCCCTAAGAAGGCCTAAGCTGCCCAAGCCTTCCAAGCCACTCTCCCGCACCGCAGGCTTCAAGCCAGTCTGAGCCTGGCCCTCCAAAACAGCCAGGCAGACAAACCCTGCTGGTGTCCAGCGCCTCCCCTCCCCTCACCCCATCCTTGGCGACGGGAAAACTTTTAGGGTGCCTCGACCAGGAAACAGCGAAAAAGAGCCCTGCGGAATGGAGACGGGTCTCCGCGAGCATGGAATTGGCATGAGCCTCCGCGCTCCCCCAAAGCTTGGGAAGAAAATGCGAGGGTAGAGCCAGAGGCCTCCAGGGAGTCGGGAGCAATTCCAGAGAGATCTGGGCAACCGGGGTAAACTCGTCCACATCGTCAGCTGGCTAGGACTAACCCTTAGGGTGCAGTACTTTCATTTGTTTGATTTCACTTTGCAGGAAAATCTAACCGGAGGTTGCCCCGAACCCAAAAGCCGTGCCTCACGCACATCGGCACTCAGACTTGCTTAGGCCGGGGGCCCGCCCAAGACAACTCCACGATGCCGGGATGGCTTCGACTCCAGCGGCCAGGGAAAGAACAGGCGCGCCTGGCGAGACCCGCGCTCGGGCTCTCTCGCGCCCTCTGGGCTTGGCTTCATGGCGCCAGGACAGCTCCCGGGGGTTGTCGAAGGTCCGGACAGGGTAGAGGACAGGAGTATGGATACTCTGGAAAGGACACGCAATGCAGCTGGCCTGCATGCACTGCAAAACCTACAGACAGACGCTAGCTAGGCGCAGCTGGCTTCCGGAGTTTGCTATTTATGAAAAAATAAACTGCTTCTCTGAAAGTAACCAACGCTTGGTCTTTTTCACATCTCTGACCCTCTTCGTCTCACCCCCTCCCTACACACACACACACACACACACACACACACACACACACAGACAACATTTCACCGTTCATAGCAAGAAGAAGAGAGAAAATAAAAGCCTGAGTTTCTTAGGCATAGGGATGTAAAAGAGCCGAGGCCCCCTGCTTCCTGACCCTGTGCCCGGCGCGCACGCACCTATAATCCTGCATTTCTCCAACAAGTTGTTTATGGAGTTGCTTCTCTATTTGCCTACACCCCGAAATCCACCCCTCCCTGGTCTCCTTTGCCCCTTTCTCGGTCCGGCTTGAAAGAGGGGGAGGGGCTCGGCGCGGGTGGGGGAGGGCGGGCCGGACGCGCGGGGCCCTAGCCGCGGCGCCCCCTCTCCGCCAGCGGCCGCCACCCCCGGATTATTTATCCGCAAAGTCCCGCGCGCGCCCATTGGGCCGAGGCCCGGGTGTCAGCGCGAGTCCTGGCTCGCCATTGGCCCCGCACACGTGCGGCCTGACTCACGTGCTTCCGGTTTGAAGGCAAAAAGTGTGCCTGGGTGATTTTTTTTTAAGCGAGAGAGTTTGTGCAAAGATCCGAGCTGTCAGAGATTTGAAAAAAAAAAAAAAAAAAAAAAAAAAAAGGCAGCCCCGGCGCTGGCGGAGACGCGCTCTCCCTGCAAAAAAAGCAAAGGCGATTAAAGGCGCTGCCAGCCTCGCGCTCTGGGCACAGCTGAGCGTGACACTCGGGGAAGTCAAACCCCTCACTACTGCCTAGGAAGATGGCTAGACTTTAAAGACTATTTTTTTCCCTTTAAGAAAAAAAATTTCTTGGAGCTTTTTTCTTTTTTCTTTTCTTTTTCTTTTTGTTTTCTTTCTTTTTGGCCGTGGCTTACTCCCCATTTAAAACAAATCATTGAATCTGGTTGCAGAAAGAAAAAAAAGAAATAGCCAAGTGTCTCCATATCTGGATGTCTACAAATTAGAGAGAGAGACAGCGAGATCTATCTGCTCGATAAGAGCGAGCGATCCAGGCCAGACGCCTGGGCTTTTTTTCCTGCACCCGCCCCGTGCCTTCGCTGGGGCTTCGCCGGCCTCCTTCCTCCGCGCACCCCCACGGGCCGCTGGCAAAGTGGGGTGGGGAGCGAGGCGGGGGGGGCGGGGGCCGGCGCGGCGGCCGGGGCGGCGGGGCGGCCGAGCATGGAAGAACAGCAGCCGGAACCTAAAAGTCAGCGCGACTCGGGCCTCGGCGCGGCGGCGGTGGCGGCGGCCCCGGGCAGCCTGAGCCTGAGCCTGAGCCCCGGCGCCAGCGGCAGCAGCGGCAGCGATGGAGACAGCGTGCCCGTGTCCCCGCAGCCCGCGCCCCCCTCGCCGCCCGCGGCGCCCTGCCTGCCGCCCCTGGCCCACCACCCTCACCTCCCCCCGCACCCCCCGCCCCCGCCGCCGCCGCCGCAGCATCTCGCGGCGCCTGCTCACCAGCCGCAGCCCGCGGCCCAGCTGCACCGCACCACCAACTTTTTCATCGACAACATCCTGAGGCCGGACTTCGGCTGCAAAAAGGAGCAGCCGCCGCCGCAGCTCCTGGTGGCGGCGGCGGCCGGAGGAGGCGCAGGAGGAGGCCGGGTCGAGCGTGACAGAGGCCAGACCGGCACAGGTAGAGACCCTGTCCACCCGCTGGGCACGCGGGCGCCGGGCGCCGCCTCGCTCCTATGCGCCCCGGACGTGAACTGTGGCCCACCCGACGGCTCTTCGCCAGCCGCCGGCGGCGGTGCGGGTGCGTCTAAAGCCGGGAACCCGGCGGCGGCGGCGGCCGCGGCGGCCGTGGCGGCGGCGGCCGCGGCGGCCGCGGCGGCCAAGCCTTCGGACAGCGGCGGCGGCAGTGGAGGCGGCGTGGGGAGCCCTAGTGCGCAGGGTGCCAAGTACCCGGAGCATGGCAACCCCGCCATCCTGCTTATGGGCTCAGCCAACGGCGGGCCCGTGGTCAAAACTGACTCGCAGCAGCCCCTCGTATGGCCCGCCTGGGTGTACTGCACGCGCTACTCGGATCGCCCGTCCTCTGGTGAGTACCCTACCCCGGGCTGCGCCATGTCTTTCGGGCCCGCGGACGCCCCCAGAACTCAGCCGCCGCTGTGCTGGGGAGAGCAGACCCGGCCTTGGGTGCTCTCTTCTCTCACGCCTGCTTCCTCCTCACCCCCGTCCCAGTCACAGCCGGGTGTGCCCCCCGTTCTGCGCTCCTGGCCTCTGTGGCCACCACTGGAGAGGCTACAGCTCCTGGCTCGGGAAGCTCAAGTCTTGATCCTTCTTTCCTTCGGTGTTGAACTCCGAGCCCCTCGGGCCTTCTTTGTATTTTACCTTTATTATTCCTGGAAAAAACACAATCAGCCATTGATTTTTCTTTCAGGGAGAGGGGTGTTTAGAGCGGGCGGGGAGGTGGGCCTAGTGGTCTGGGTCTGAAATCCCTCCAGCCAGGTCCTACGGAGGCCGAAATGGAGCCAGGCTCTGATCAGAGAAATAATCGTCACCTTGTGTTCTTACAAACACAAACACCATCTCGACATTTTCTGAGGCGAGTTCATTTACAGAGAGAGAGATTGGAGGACACACAGAAAGAGGGAAAAGGCTTTGATAGCTGTGCCTCTTCCCCAGGCCGGGTAAGCTAGGCAGTCTGACCCGGGTGGGTAGAATCCAGGGAAAGATGGTTGCCAAAACGGTCGGTGCCGATAGAGCCCTGGCTCCTGGTTCTCTAGAGCTCACAGACAGTGGGAGTGGAGAGGAGACCGGTCAGGCACGGGCCAGATCGCGGGGGCACGGGGCATTGGCAGCCGCCTCCGCAGCTTCTCCGTGGCGTGGCGCTCACATCCTCCGGCCCTGCCCCTTCCTTCTTTCACTCCTTTCTTCCCTGTATCTGCCAGTTAGCAGATTTCTGCCAGCTGTAGGTTGTTTTTCTCGACTTCCTTCGGCCCTTTTCTCGCGTGTTCCTCGCGCTTGGAAACCCCGAGGCCGAGAGACCTGCGCTGGGACAGTCCTAGGCCCCAGGAGAGGAGGCTGGGGCCTGCCCGCCTCCCCGGGCGGCAGCGCCAGAGAGGCCCGTGGGCGCGGCGAGGAGGACGGCAGGGGTTCTGGCCTACAATTGGTGTTCCGGGCACCCGAGGCCGGTAGGAGGCCGGACACAGCGTAGCCATGCGCCGCTCTACTCCGGCTGGTGTCTAGCCTCCCCACGGTTGCCGGCCGGGCGCGGATCGATGCGCGCTATCAGCCCCCGCCATCTCGAGCCCCGTTATTGACACGTCGGGCTCCCTGAACCTCCGAAAAGCTGCTTTGATTGACTCGCCTGATGGATAGAGTGATTGAGCTGTCAGGTTGGGCGGCTCAGGCTGGCCAGGAGGCTACGATTTTATTACAAGTGTCCGTGCCTCTGCACACACATACACAACACTCTCACAACATCCCGGACGCACAACGCACAGCGGGGCCTTTCCGGAGATGTGCACATTTCCTGGGCCATCTCTTCCCGCTCAGATAATTACTAATCTAAACCAAGGCCGTCCTTCCTCCCCACCCCACCTCTCAGTCCTCTCCGCACGGCGCTCAGGAGTGGGCCTTGCCTTTGTTCTTGGCCGCTTTCCCTCTTCCGTGCCTGGGGAGGCAGGAGACGGGCTCCTCCTGCATGGGCAGTTCAGGGAGACGAACCTCAGCCCAGACCTGAGTCGCTGCAGCCAGCCAGGCCTGGAGTCTTTGGTCATAGGACAGCTGGTGACCCCAGGCGCTGGCCTGCCCGCGGAGCCAAGCAGCCCAGCTTGCCCCTCTGTTGCTAGGTTTGGAGATGCTGGTGAAGACCCTTCTTTCCAGACAGTTTCTGATATTAAAAGGCCGGACAGGGACTTAACTTGGCTCAGGAAGCTCCTATAACCACGACAGGGCCCACCAAGTAAATGCCGGAAGACTTGGGTCTGAGGCTGAGGAACAGAGGGGCAGGCTTTAAAGGCTGCCTCTTCTTTCCCCCCTGCTCTCTCCAGGGCTGGGCTCCACAGCAGCTCTCTTCCCACACTAGGTTTTGGGAGAATCTTCACCTTCTTGGCGAGGTTTGCTGGGACGTCTTCCCATATCTGTCTTAGGGGCAAAGCACAGATTTCTGTCCGCCTTGTCCCTCTGTCTCTTTCCCTGTGCCCGTATTTTGCTCATGAATGGGGGGAGAACCGATGGAGTCTCCTTGCAAATGTCATCGATGGGCAGGGGAAGCAGATCTGGCCTGTTTTTGTTATACAGGACTTTTCAATCCTGAAACTGCCGCGTACGTGTTCGAAAGAGAGAGAAGGGAGACCTTGCCTGTACAGCTAGGTGGAGAAATGGGGAGGGTCCTCTCTTTCTTACTGGCACCATCCAAGGGGCAAAGCAGAGAACCCTGGGGGCCAGGGTCATGTGGGTAAGGTGTGCAACTGGGTGAAAGCCTTGTTCCGCCTTCAGAGAAGGGGGTGGTCAGTGTCTCCCTGGGACCCTAAAAAGGGCTTCCTTTAGGGCCAGAGAGAAAGGAAGAGCCCAGAGAACATACACCAAAGACTTTGGATCTAGGCAAGCCCCTCACAGTCCCCTCCCTATCCCCCTGTTTTCTGGGGTCAATAGCTACAAGCAGACCCGGTCTTATCATCTTAAGTGCTGGGCGTAGGTGCGCTTCTTGAGGAGGAAGGGAGGATTAGTTTGCAGGCTGGCCATTCCCTCAGGGCAGTCCTGCCCGGTGTCTTCACTGGCCCAGGCTTGAGCCTCTTTTTATTTCAGGGTTGTGAAGACAGCAGGCCCCTGACCTCCAACTCTGGGATCCACCGGATGGGGCTTCCAAATGTCTCTCCATCTTGGATTATGGGATTTAAGCGTGGCACGCTGCTCTCTGGTTCCGCGAACTGGGGTGTGGGATGCACGGACAAGCTCGGCCGGTTTTCCTCCGCGGCCCTTCTGGCCCCCCAGAAGGGAAGTTGGCGACCCCAACAGCCAGGCGATTGATCTCGGGGCTAGCCGGCGGGAGGGAGCCAGGGGCGCAGCAGGGCCTCGGCTATCGCCCCGGAAGCGCGGGGCGCGATCCCCGCTCGGCTCTGCAATTCTCACGGCTTCCTCTGCCCTCTCCCCCCTCCCCTCTGCCCTCCGTCCCCACCCCCACCCGGCCCTCTCCGCCGCTGCAGGTCCGCGCACCAGGAAGCTGAAGAAGAAGAAGAACGAGAAGGAGGACAAGCGGCCGCGGACGGCGTTCACCGCCGAGCAGCTGCAGAGACTCAAGGCGGAGTTCCAGGCGAACCGCTACATCACGGAGCAGCGGCGGCAGACCCTGGCCCAGGAGCTCAGCCTCAACGAGTCCCAGATCAAGATCTGGTTCCAGAACAAGCGCGCCAAGATCAAGAAAGCCACGGGCATCAAGAACGGCCTGGCGCTGCACCTCATGGCGCAGGGACTGTACAACCACTCCACCACCACGGTCCAGGACAAAGACGAGAGCGAGTAGCCGCCCGCCGGCTGGGGCCGCGCGGTCCGGCCGCCGCGCCCGCGCCCCCTCCTGGCATCGCCGCTGCCGCCGCCGCCGCCGCCGCCGCCGCCCGGCCGGCCCCACGCCGGGGGAGAAAGAATCCGCGCACAGGAGGGAGGGAGCAACAGGGAAGAGAGAGAGAGAGAGATTCTCAGAATGGAGAGTCACGTTTGAACGAAACATTTTTTAAAAAGGGAGAAAGACTCGGACAGGTGCTATCGAAAAATAAGATCTGTTCTCTATTCACAGTATAAGGGGCGAAACTGCGAACTCCTTAAAGCTCTATCTAGCCAAACCGCTTACGACCTTGTATATATTTAATTTCAGGTAAGGAAAAGAAATATGTGTAGCGATCTCTATTTGCTGGACTTTTTATTAATCTCCTTTATTATTATTGTTATAATTATTATAATTATTATAATTATTTTATCCCCCACCTCGGCCTCGCTGCCCCCGGCCCAGTTTCGTTTTCGTTGCCTTTTTTCTTTTGAATGTTGTTGCTTCTCCGGTGCCTCCCGCCCCGCATCGCTGGCCCTCGTTTCTCTGGGACTTTTCTTTGTGTGCGTGAGAGTGTGTTTCCTCGCGTGTCTGCCCTTCGCCTCTTCCCCGCCTCCCCAGCCCCTTCTGTCGGTCTGTCTGTCCTGCTCCCCTTTCGTTTTCCGGAGACTTGTTGAGAAATACGACCCCACAGACTGCGAGACTGAACCGCCGCTACAAGCCAAAGATTTTATTATGTTCAGAAACCTGTAGTCTGAAATAAAGTGTACACTGTGCTCACGAGCCGTTGGCGGCCTTCCTCCTTGCGGGCTCGGGAAGGGCGTGGGCGCAGGGCACGCGAGGGCCCCGCGCGCATCGCGCACACACCGGGCGGCGAGCCCCGGGCGGCCCGGCCTGGCCTTGCGATCACCGCACAACGAATACCGGGGGCAAGACGAGCGCGCGGCGGTAGAGGCGGCCCAGAGCCGGGTAGGTCCCGGTCTGGAGGGTCCGGAGGCCCACTCCTGCTCTCTGATGGCGTCCAAAGGAGCCCAAAGACAAAACAAAACAAAGCAAAACAAAAAACAACAAACCCCAGTCCTGACTTCGGAAACACTGCCGGGACGTCCGGCTGCTCCCTGTGCCGACCCAGGCCCAGCTTGGCTTTGCCCTCCTCCTGTTCACCCTGCCCCGCTCTTTGCTTCGGCCTGCACCTTTCTCTTTTCTGTCCTTCTTCCCCTCACAACCCCGTGTGGGTTTCGCTTGAGGTTTTCCCTTCCAGAAGCGCAAGGCCTTCCCAAGGGCGGCAGAGGTGAGGGGCTGCCTCCAGGGCTGAGCTGCCCACGAGGGCGAGGGGGCTCTTCGGCGGGCCTCTGGGCCTGGTCTCTCGGCCGCCGGGACTTCACTGCTCTTAGTTCGGAGAAGTGATTCAGTTCCCGAAGCGTCAGGTCGAGGGCGGCACTTGGAGCCTTTCCTGGTCGGGATTTCGTGGTCCCGAATAGCCCAGGGAGAAGAGGCCTGGACGCTGGGAAGTGATGCTGCTGGGATCCTTTTTGGGCCGGAATTCCCACGCGGGCCCGGGCCTGCCTCGCGCAGACCCAAAACCTAAGTGGGGTCACTCTCCGAATGCCAACAAAGGCTTGCTTCCTGATTGAGGGGGGGAGGGGGCACAGACCCAAGCCTTCTGAACCCTCAGGGCAGGTGGACTTCCCAGAGGGAAATGTCTGCACTCTTTGCCCCTGACCCTGGGACCTTCCCTTCCTGGGCAGGCACTGGGCCCCCTACCTTCAGGGACTAGGAGGAGGAAAGGGAGGTCCCTTTTGTCCAGGATTTGTTTTTTAATGGTAAATCCTCCTTTCTTCCTGTCTTCTGAAATATGTGTATGTACCTGTCCGTGTGTGGCTAGATATGTAGGTGTCCTTGCAGACTTGTGTGCATATGTGATCACGTGCAAATGTAGGTGCATCGGAGGAGCTACCTGGTTTTGTGTGTCCCTGCATGTTTGAGTATTGTGCTCACTGGGTGTTCATTTCTCTGTAATTAGATGCACACTTGGATGTTTGTGAGCTTGCGGTGTGTGTACATGTGTTCATTAGTGTTTGCACACCAGAATGCCTGCAGGTGTGTTTGTGGGGCTGGTGCATGCATGGGAACTCTGTTTCTGTGTTCTTCCCTTGAGTTTCTTTCCTGTTGTTTTTGCAGGATTGATTTTGTGAGAAGTGAGAATGGTCATTCTACCTTTTTCCTTGAGAAACTTCCCCCTCATTTGGGCCTATATCCTGGGAAGTGACAGGGCTAGTAGGCTCCAAGTCCCTGCTCAAGGGTTTGGGAGCCTGAGGTTCAAAGCCTGGAGTTGGAGAGCATACTTGATATTGCCATGGGTTCCCAACTTTATTGCAATAAGTCTTTTCCTCCCCTTCACGCCTTCTTGGGGTGTGTAGACTAACCTCTGCACATAATGGGTGCTTACCCACTCCTTGAGTGAAGAGTTGGAAGCAGAGGCCAGGGGTGGTCCTTCCCTAGGATGGCCCCCGTGAATGGTTTTCTGGTGGTTGGACGTACATCCTTTGCCTTTCTTGGATGGGGAAGGGGGCCCGGGATCTTCAGGCTCTCCAGGGCTTCAGATTAGAGGGTCTGAGACTTGGAGCCCAGGGTCCTCTTGCCCTCATCCACATAGCTCAGAACATCAGGAAGGGTCCTGGCCACCTCCAGATGTGGTGTTGGGGGCACTCTGCTCTACAGAGAACCTGATCCTTTGAGTGCCTGGAAATGGGGCTACCCTTTCTTGGCCCTTCTTCACGGTGGCCCTTAGGTTACCTAAGCCCTTCGAGACCACTAGATCTAGAGGCTGGGCCAGGGGCCAAGGCGAAGAGCCATCCTGTTCCTTAAGGCTCCTCTTCACCACTCTCAGGAGGTCAAAGTCAAGAGCTCTTCCCCTCAACCCTGGGGTAGAAGGAGGAGGTGATGACCCCTCCCTAAGATTGCATTAGTAAAGCTTATGGATCTGTTATTATTATGTAATTTGATTTCTTCCCCGTATCTCCTTTTATCTTCCAACCCCTATGGGCACGAGAATTTTCTTCTTTGTTCAGTGGAGAAAACTCAAGCTCAAACGACTACATATTTGGTCCATGCCTCCTCTGTGGCAGTGTGTCTTTTTCTATGTCATCTCTACTCTTAACAACTGCCTCAACCTCAGGAATCCGGCCCTGGCCCTGACTTTCCTACCTTCCTGCCTTCCTCATCCCCATTTCCCCTTCTTCCTGATTGGGGCTGAGGAAGGAGGACGAGGACTCTGGTCAGAACTCTTTCTTGTTCCCCCTCTAAAAAAAGAAAGTAATAATAATCATAAACAAGCATTGATTTCTCTGATTTATGGGGCTGGCTTAGGGAGTCGCCTGTGTATTAAAAAGTCTGAGGTTGCATCGAAATAAATAGTGGAGTGTGCTATCCCAACTTCCTCATTTTCTACCTTTTAAAAAAAAAAAGATCAGATTGAACCATAAACTTAAATCTTCCTCAGCCCAGAAGGAAATACACACTAGCCGAGTCTAAACAGTATTGATCCCTGGCTCTTTCTGAGGGCAAAGGTCTCTGTGTTCTTGCTCAAAAGTCTTGTCCCTTTAGTAGGGTCAGGGTGAGGCTGCAGATGGAGGAGGGGGTATTGGGATGTTTGGGGCTGCTGGTATGTGTGTGCAAGCTTCTATGTTTGTGGGTTGTATGGTGAGGGGCCTTTGTATAGGGGTGGCATTAAGTATATTTGTTCAGGCTTGGGAGGTGGCAGTGTGTGTTTGGGGTGTATGGCTGCCAATAGTTTGGTGTTTGTGAGTGTGTGCATGTATGGCCAATTCTCAGGGCCCCTAGGCTGGGTTGCCCAGGGCACAGAGAGGGAGTGGCCTGCCCCTTACCTGGCTCCCACAGCCCCCTGACCTATGCAGGATTTCCAGAGATGATCTCACCAGGGAGGTCGCTGCGTCCCGGTCTCCCCCTACCCCAACTCCCGCATCCAATGCCCTCAGTAAAAGACCTACTTGCAGGGGCAGGGCTGAGCCTTGGCTGACTCCCTAGAGGCCAGAGGCCACAGCCAGGGGTGGAGAGGCTCTGGCCAGACTCCTTACCCTGGATGAAGGTGGTTCTCTAGAGGGGTCATCAGCTCCTCCAGTGGTTAGCCTAGATTTTCCTTTTTGTGTTGGAGAAAACCCTATTCCTCTGGCAATAGAAGCTGCCTTCCACTATGCTCAGACATGGGCAGGGGGCGGGGAGGGGCAGGGAGGCCAGGCAGCAGCCCTCCCTCAGCCTTGCCTCACCTCAGGGTGGGTTCCAAATGAAGTATTCCCTCTGGGGGAGGTGGCAGAGTATTGCTCCATCCCTCTGAACCACCCCCCCCCAACTGCTCTTCTCCCAATTTGAACTCAGGTGAGAGGGCTACTCTCCTGTGGCAACTTGTGGAAAGGGGACTCTGCCAACCCCCACTCCTCCCCCAAATGCTTTAAAAGGCCAGTCTTTTAATGAAGTCCCATTGTTGGGAGGGGGTCCTCAGGGATTCTGGAATAAAAAGGTTTCATTTCACAGGCAGGGGTGGGGGGGGTGGGGAAGCGTGGGGAGGGTGGGGGAAGTCCTGAGAGAGTAAGTACCTCATTCAAAAGCACACAGCAAGCGAGAGGCAACCCCCACCCCCAGCTTTCCTAGGAGTCCAGTGTCCTTGCCTTTGTACCACTGCGTGGGTAGAGTTACTGCGCAGCAGGCCACTCCGCACACGTGCGCGTGCTTCTGCACATCAAAGAGCACAAGCATGCATTCATCCATGTGTACACATGCACACACATGTAGAAAATGTGCACATATACAAAGAAATGTACATGGGCTGATGTGTGGAGGTGTGTTCCCAGGGAGCACAGGGACATTGCCTGTGTAGAAGCTTCTGGCACACATTTATGCACAGTCCAGGAATACACATACTGGTACCCAACACATACCTGCCTGCCCCTTCCATGGAGGCCACC